TATCAAATTCCGATTCAAATGTTACATTTTACAAAACTGTAAAATTTGTTTATACTTAAAAGAGTGTTCAACTTGGTTTACCATTTTAAGTATTCCAATATGTTTTCTTGAAATATATGGTGATTTGGTTTGTTGTGTTTTACAATTGGGCATTTGCTCGTGTGCCGAAACGGAGGGCCAAGCAGTTAATGTGATCAAGTTCGATGTGAGAGGATTGAATCTGTTTAATGGACGGCTGACGATTGAGGCCTCCTTCAAGCAAGCATCCAAATCAGTTAAAGCCCATCTGCTGCCCTTTTGCTTGCCCTTTGTATTCTTTTCTTTGATCTGACTGGAATCATGTTCTTAAATTTTTTCTGCTTTCAAATTCTACAGAGAGTTGACATCAAATATGACAACTCCACAATCACTCCGGTTCAGGTAGTTTAAATTATATGCGTCATTCGCACGTGCACACGCATACGCACACGCACACACACACAAACTATTACTTCATTTGCTTCATCATAATGGGTTGCTGTTATCGGCCATAATTTTGAGTTTATTTGTGTTTATGTTTGGAAACGCATTAGTTGATGAACGTGTTTCGGAAAAATTACCATCTTCTGCTTGGAATCTTCAATCCAGAGGGTTGGCTTGAGATAACGTATCCTAAATCACATTAGTTGACACCGCATTATCAATTTTCTATTTCCTGCGCTTGAGGGTTGCCTTTTGGATGCAGACATATCATGTTGCATGTTTTCCTGAATTCAGTTACTGCAGATATCTTGATGAAACCATGAGGATCGGAAGGGATGATAAAGGCAACATCTTCATATTAGAGAGATCAAACGAAAATTCGCTTCAAGCGTCAAGCTAGACTCAGTTCGTCGTTATATCCTTACCGGTTGAAAGATTATTTTTGAAGAGTACATTTCGTTGCTGCATTGTAGCACTTTTGAACATTTTTGTAATTGTAACTCATAAAGCTGCATATCTGCGGTCATCTTTTTTCCAGAGAAATAATGAAAGACGAAGATATGTGCTTTCATGATGAACGATTTCAGAAGCATAACTAATCAAAATAAGAAAGCAGTTAATTGTAATGTTGGCTGCCCACAGTCCATTTGCCCTTACTTTTCTTCCAAGCAGACCTTTAAAAATGCCTCTTCTTGTGGGGAAGACCCAAACTTTCACTGCCCTGCCCTGTAACAGTAAATTTTTACTTTTATTTGGATACAGTGGTGGCAAAGATGCCCAACGACAATTCCTCTCCTAAGTTAGAGACAAGGCTAGCGGCACCAATAGTGTTAAAAGTCGGGCTCAGCTTCAAGAGCTCCCCAAAGCAGCTTCAACAACCAGTTCTTGAGTATACTCATCTTTGGAGGCACTCTTGATCAAATTTGCTTGCACACTTCTGAGGCGAACGAGGTCGTTTAAAGTCGAAAACAAAGGCGATTTTCAAATTTCCACTTCCAGATCCACTATTAAACTTGAAGCAAATAGCATGAACCCCAAGGCACTCCATGCTGCCTCTTACTTCCCACCTTTGAGGCGCCAGTTTCCTTCTTTCTTTCTTTTTTCCTGTTATGAACAAATTTGAGCATTGTTTAATTCAAACATGGTCTCATGTCAAAATATATTAGGGTAATAAAGCATATTTTATAACCAAAATAGATCATCAATTAACAAAATATCTTCAACAAACCGAATTGCCAATGCAGAGCCTCAAATAATGTAACAAGTTCCGCCACAAAAGTCTTAATCTCCAGCAAGCTCTCATTATCAAATAAAGGAGTGGCACATTGACTTGACTGTGAAAGTGCCAGAAGCACTGAGACCCCAAATATATATTTCTCCTAAAAGCCATACGATTAAGCAGAAGGAACACAAACAAACTAAGATGGCAAGATCCTCTTACTCTCATATCCTCCTCCTACACATTTGTTTCATTTTCCTTTCGCTTCCGTCACCATGCTGTGCCTACGATGGTGACCTCGACGCCCTTTTGAAGCTCAAGAACGCCATGAACACTGGTCCCCAAGCTTCAGGGGTGCTGGAGGACTGGCAGCCCTCTGCCCACTACTGCTCTTTCTCTGGAGTCTCATGTGACCAGCAGCAAAGCCGAGTGGTTGCTCTTAACGTCCCCAACGTGCCTTTGCCTGGCTCCATCCCAGCCGAGATTGGGCTTCTAAACAAGCTGGTCAACCTCACCATCGCCGGCAACAAGTTAACCGGGATGCTTCCCTCGGCGATGGCCAACCTGACGTCTCTAAAGCACTTGAACATCTCCAACAACGTCTTCAGAGGCCGGTTCCCGGTAGAAATCTTCCTTGGGATGCCGGAGCTTGAGGTTCTTGACGCCTACAACAATAACTTTACCGGCCAACTGCCACCCGAGCTGGCCAGCTGTAAAAGGCTAAAACATCTTCAAATGGGAGGAAATTACTTCACGGGAGAGATTCCTGAGAATTATTCTAATATTCAGAGCCTGGAGTATCTAGGACTCAATGGTAATTGGCTCACCGGAAAGCTACCGGCCAGCTTGGCTCTGTTAAAGAACCTCAAGGAGCTGTACGTTGGGTACTATAACAGTTTTGACGGCGGCATTCCACCGGAGTTGGGATCGCTGACGTGGCTGCAAGTGCTGGACTTGGCCAGCTGCAACCTGAGCGGCATCATTCCCACGAGCCTAGGCCTTTTGAAACATTTGCACTCTCTGTTTCTACAAGTTAACCACCTCAACGGTGGTATACCACATGAACTTTCGGGCATGACGAGCTTGGTGGGTTTGGATCTCTCGATCAACGAACTCACAGGAGAGATACCAGAAAGTTTCTCAGAGCTGAAGAACATTACCCTTCTCAACCTGTACAAGAACAATCTTTACGGTCGCATACCCGAATTTATCGGCCATCTTCCTCATCTGGAGGTGCTTCAACTGTGGGAGAACAACTTGACATTTGAGCTACCGGAGAGCCTTGGCAGGAACAGCAGGCTTGTGGATTTGGACGTCACCGGAAACCACCTGACCGGGTTGATTCCTCAGGATCTTTGCAGAGGAGGGAGGCTGAAAACATTGATTTTGATGGACAATTACTTCTTTGGGCCAATTCCGGAGGAACTAGGCCAGTGCAAGTCCCTTGTCAAAATCCGAATGATGAAAAACGCAATCAATGGGACTGTTCCTGTTGGGATCTTCAACTTGCCTAACGTGGTCATGATTGAGCTGAATCAAAACTACTTGTCTGGTCAACTTCCAACACAAATGTATGCGGACTCACTGGCAATCCTCAAGCTTTCTGGGAACCAGATTTCCGGGGTAATCCCACGGGCAATTGGAAATCTTAACAACTTACGAACTCTCTCCCTGGCGATGAACAAGTTTTATGGGAAAATACCAAAGGAAATCTTTTATTTGAAATGGTTATTGAAGATCAACATCAGCATCAACAACCTGGGTGGTGAAATTCCAGCTTCAATTTCTAATTGTTCGTCTCTAACGTTCCTTGATTTTAGTCGAAACAATTTGGTTGGCGAAATCCCAAGAGGGACAACAAAGGTAGAAGCAATTCAACGTGTCAATTTCTCTAGAAACCAACTCACGGGACAAATACCTGATGAAATCCCCTACATCACAACAAGCCTCACAACTTTGGATCTCTCTTACAACAACTTCACTGGAACAATCCCACAATCCAGTCAGTTTCTGGCCATCGTGTCGTTTGAAGGAAATCCCTCTCTCTGTCGCAATGTCTCATGCCCGTCCTTGATTAACCAGAGAGCTCGAGACCACAATGCGTTTGGTTCTCCTTTGAAGCTAGCTCTTATCATCATTGGACCGCTTCTGGTTCTCCTACTTATCATCCTTCTGATATTCCTACTTATCAAGGTTTATAGAGTCACAAAGATGAGAAAGATCCAAAAATCGAAGGGTTGGAGGCTCATAATGTTCCCACAGCTCCATCTCAACGTTGAGGACTTGCTCCAGTGCTTAAAGCAAGAGAACATTGTAGGCAAAGGGAGTGCTGGGGTTGTCTACCACGGGACCATGCCAAGCGGCCTTGAAGTGGCAATCAAACAGCTTGTTGGCTCAAGTAGAGGAGGACAGAGGGATCATGGATTTTCAGCGGAAATTAAAACACTAGGACAAATCAAGCACCGAAACATTGTAAGGCTTCTGGGGTACATGTCAAACAATGAATCAAACTTGTTATTGTACGAGTACATGCCGAATGGTAGCTTGGGGAAACTATTGCACGGGCCAAATGCCGCGGAATTGCAGTGGGAGAGGAGGTATAAAATCGCTGTGGAGGCCGCTAAGGGATTGTGCTATCTCCACCATGACTGCTCGCCTCTTATTATACACAGGGATGTCAAGTCCCATAACATCTTGTTGGACTCCAACTTGGAGGCTCATGTTGCTGATTTTGGGCTCGCTAAGTACTTTCAAGGACCTGCAGATTGCATGTCTTCCATTGCTGGTTCCTTTGGCTACATAGCCCCAGGTGCGTAACCTAATTCATCTTCAACAAATTTCAACTCAACTTATCAATGGATTGAATTTCAATCATTTTTCTTGTAAGTATCTACATTTTTTCTTTCTTATGTGATGGTGCACACAGAGTACGGTTATACGCTGAAAGTGGATGAGAAAATCGACGTGTACAGTTTCGGTGTGGTGCTGCTGGAGCTAATAACTGGGAGGAAACCGGTGATGAACTTGGAAGATGAGGACATGAACATAGTAAGTTGGGTGAGGAAGACCACATCAAAAATCCCTTATAAGCCATCTCCTGCATCACCAGCAGTACTATTGGCACTTGTAGATCCCAAGCTCAGCGGGTACCCATTGCAAGGTGTCCTAGACTTGTTCAACATAGCAATGATGTGTGTCGAGAACGACAGCTGCGCAAGACCTACAATGAGGGCAGTCGTTAACATGCTCACCAATCCTCCACCGTCTTCTCCGACCATAGTCAACCTTTAGATATGTTGGTAGACCGACACAAAAGTGATCCTGTTTATGTTAGTGCTTTGGTATGACAATGTTGCTTTTTAAATTTTACTAAACCTTGTTGGTGCAGCTTAAGATTCAGTGAAAGTGATCAGAATCTGTACTTGACTTGATATTCCAATTTCCAAAGCACAAGAAATATGCACTATAATAATTCTTTTTCTTGAGTTGTTAATAGAATTAGGCAAGACACCGATATGTAAAGGACAATATTGAACAGCCCTACATTTATCTTCTAGTAGATAAATGAAAAGACGTCTTTACCTTGGTCGTCGTACTTTCTTTTCACACAGTTCTTGTTTTGTGCAATTAATTTTCTTGTACAAGATAGAGAGAGTGTTATTCAACTTGATGTCTAAGGGCTAGTTTGGTATTCTACTTTGATCTAATTTTATAAACTCAAAAACAGATTTTAAGTCCAAAGCTCAAAAAACCTGTTTGGTATGCCCATTTTTAAAAATCCAAACCCAAAAAAATTCAAAAACATCCTCATTATTGAAAACAAAACAAGTGAGGTTTTACAATTTTTTTTCTCTCTCGTCTCTTTCTCTCCTTTCTCCCCCGTCTCCTCTCTCTCTCTCTCTCTCTCTCTCTCTCTCTCATCTCTCTCGTCTCTCTTTGTCCTCCCTCTCTTCTCTTCTTTTGTTAATTTCAATTTGGGAATTAGGGTTTTTGATTTTTTTATTTTAATTTCAATTTTTTTAAATCTTAAAAATAGTTTCGACTTCAATACTAAACAAGTTTTTAGATTCTAAAATCAGTATTTGAAAACTCTGTTTAAAAAAAAAAATCATGTTATTTGAGTTCATTTTTTTGACTATGATACCAAACGGGTCCTAATTTTGTTATTGTGGTATTTTGAAATGGTCTATTACTTGACTATAATGCTAGACACACCAAACTTTTTTTCCAACTATATATTATCATAACTCTTGCACATAATGTGAGAGTCATGAGACAATTATACTATGTAGGATCCATTCAATGTGAGCGGGTTAGGACAAGAGTTGATGTGTGCGCATATCACTCATTAAAATCATTTAGGTATATTCCACAAAAAAGTATGCTGGAAATCCAAAATCGTTGTCCCTATCTTCCGCGGTCTCGTATTTGAATCACTTGATGCTCATGATACACGACCATCCCCCGATGTGGCCAACTTTTGGTAGATGAATTGAATTCTTAAAAGTTGTTTGAATGGTGTATTAGAAGATAATAATATACTACTAGTGCCCACATAGGTTAGCTAATTCAAAGCAGAATTACTTGTGATTAGCGATTGGTTTCCTTTTCTTGCTTTTTACCAAACCCCTTGTCTGTTTCTTAATAGTTTAAGGTTTTACAAAGAGATCCACCTGTCCAACAATAATGCAAACCTGTGTGATTTCTGAGGATAAAACTTGATTATAATACTTTGGAAAAAGAAATGAAAAAAGATGGTCAGAAAATCAATACTTTTCCTACTCTTCTTCTCACTCACTCACAAACAGCAATCTTTTTTTTTTTTTTTTTCAATCAAAGTTCATTCAAATCCCAAAAAAATAAAGGAAAAACAGCAAATACAGGAGCCGAAGAGGCCATGGACAGAGTACAACAAGCACATGGAACATTAAGCTAAAACCAGTACAGCCTAGCACAATAAATCTTCCTCATCACAAAATCTAACAAAGTAAAAAAAACAAAGCAACCGTCACCGCTAAGGGAACAGGGACTGCACCAAAATGGCCACAAAAGAGGAGAAACACTTCTTCCACACAAGTCAGCACTGCTGCACATAGAGACCCACCGATTGTCCGCCAAGGACAAAAATTTCCCAAAACCCATTAATACATCAACACATGCACAATCATCCAAGAGTCACCTCCTCCATCGCACCTGAATCTGCCAATGAACCCAAATGAAAACTTAGTGTAGGGCTCAATTTTTCCATCTCTAGCCATGCATGGCTATATTTTAGAGCCCTTCATATTTTATTATTTTGAGAAAAATTATGGTACAACACTCATACATTCCACTAATATGTATTGTTTAAATTAATTAAATTACTATTTGGAGATAATATTCAAGATATGACACGTGTAATAACCCGAACCTAAATTAATATTTAGTTATTAATTTATTCAAGTAAAAGATAATTTTACCCTGGAATATTTTAATGGTTTAAAAGTTGACTTTTTGTTCGAGAAATAATTTGGGAATTTTAGTAGTATCGTTGTGTAGAGCACGTCGAGATGAGTCCATAGACACGTAATGAGCTCAAATCGTAGTTGTAACGAAAAAGTTACGATCTACGGAAGTGCAATGGCACAACCATAAATATTTCGAAGTTTAGGTTTTTTTATTTTAAAAAAAAACATATTTTTATTTTCTCTCCCTCTCTCTCTCTCTTCCCGTGAACCAGCCCCCTCCCCCCTATTGTTTTTTTTAAAAAACAGCCGGTGGCTCTCTTTGGAGCCATCGCCGTCGCCACGGGTTGCCTCTCCTCTTCCTGTTCCAGCCCCACCCGATCTCAGCCTCGATCAGCCGTTGCCGTCGCCGAAAATCGTAAAAAACAGGCCAATTTTTACGTAAATTTTCGGAGGCTCGTTCAGGTGATTCTGGCGACCAAATATTGCAATCCAGGTATGCTTTCTCAACCTGTCGAGACATTCTAGGTGCTGGTTATGTTGGATATGAGAAATTTCTGCGTTTCGGGGGTTAAATAAGCAATTGAAATCTGCCGATTTCGGCCACTTCTGTCGAGTTTTTGGGTAGGTCCAAGAACAAAAGTTGCTCCACTCTGTGTGGTGATCATGCAGGTATAAGTCTTGACCGGCGGTTTGGAGATTTTCTGATCGCCGGAATCGCATTGGACACCCACGCGCCGGCAGCGTGGGCCACTTTTGGGCCAGTCCTTGAGTCCTAACATCATCCTCATGTCGTCCCGAGCACAACGGTATACTCGGATATAAATTTGGATATTGTTTGATCGTCGCTCGGATATTGCATATTAGGCGTTATCCGGGTTTGATATGTTCGGGCCTTTGGATCGACTCCAATTTAAAATATGTTGATCTAGGCATTCCTAGGATCGTGTAGGATTTCACGGATTGTGAATCGGAGCCCTGGATGTTCCGATTCAATACGTAAAAGTCTACGTTTTATGATAACCGTCCGATCGTACGATCGTGAGCGATCCAACCATTCAATTAGGACCAAATTTGCAGGGTAGGTTTAGAAAAGTGTGTTGGACCTATAGGAACTCCCAGATTGGTGATCAGAGGTCGTGGGCCTCACGGGACCGGTTGACCAAGTTTAGGCAGTTTGACCCCTCGGTTGACCGTGGGTCTTCCGAGGTAGTTTTACCATTTGAGAAGTATTAGATCGATCTTGTAAACGAATCCTGACTGAAAGTTGAGTTACTCTAATCACTTTAGGATTAGAGGATTGTGTTATAGTACCTTATAGAAATTCTTGGATATTACATTCATAATTGAAATTATGGGATTTTCTTTAAAGGTTATTACTTTTTATTAATTGATATTATTATGATTATAAATCAAGTATATGGATTGGGTAGTATTGGGTTATGTACGGAAGTATATTGTTTTAATGGTGGAATACAATATTTTATAGAATTTATGTGAAAACAAGGGTTGATTTCTATTTGAATTATTTACGGATCTCTAGAAGATTTATGCTTATGTGAGTGTTCATTGGTTTGTAATGGCATTATTTTCATTGATTGAATTACTATGCAATCTATTATGGATTTATATGATTATGGAATGGGTATATTGTCATGCCCCGGACCCGGGGGTAGGTGGAAACCCCAAGCCTGATGCGCAGGGACGGACCCAGGATTTCAAACTTGACTAGGCTAAATTTACCTTACATATAAACATACTAAGTACATAGAAAACTCGATAATAATGTAATTTCATTGATAACAAAATAATAATAATACATCTACTCAAGGGGGGACATAATGAGCCTTACCTCTCAAATAACACTATATAAGTTGCACCCTTTGAGTCTTCATAGAATTAAAATCATTAATTATCGACTCATTATCTATATTATCAGCAAATTCTCTTTCAATGTGAAGTAACATACAATCAGCAAGAAATTCATCACCTATCTTGTTTTGAAGCCGATTTTTGATCAGTCTCATACAAGAAAATGCTCGTTCTGTTGTTGCTGTAGAAACAGGAAGAGTTAACACCAAACGAATCAATTTGTCAATCAAGTAGTAGGTTTGTGCTAATCTTGTTTCCACTAAGCGCTCAAGTAATATAGGAATGGAATCAAGATTCTTGAAGGTTGGATTGTGATCCATATCAATCTTATAAAATCTCAGTTGTTGATTTAAAGCCTGCAACTCAGTTGTAGTGAAATCTTGAGGATAAAATTTATCAGCAAGAGTGTATATATCATCAATGTAAAATCGCTTGAAAGCATCACGGGGATCCAATGATGAGCTAAGACGAAGGAGTTCCACAGTTTCATATGGAAATCTAGTATTTCACTCCTCCAATTGATAATCTATTACCTCATTAAATACATCCATATGATAATAATGCTCCACTGTGATACAATCTTTTTGTTGACAAGAACGCCCAGTGCCCATTGTATGACGAGTACCCATATCAGGCATACTAATTTCATGTTTTTCACAAAATGATCGTACACTCTGTATAAAATCATCCCAACCATTGTTTCTCAACTCATCAAGCTCCATTTTTGTACTTGCAACCAAATTCAAAGCACTTACAATGTCTTGAGATTTTCTTTGAAGTTCTTGACAAAGAAAATCAGTGAATCCCATAGTTTTGTCCAACAAATTCAAGGCAAAGACAAAGTCAAAAGACAACATAGAAATTTTAATACCTTCTGCTTCCCCGTGAAATTGTGCGGTAGGTCCATTATGACTGATATCCTTTAGAAGTGTCTTGGTTGCACCAAATAAATCAATTAAACTCCTAATAGAACTAAAATGTGAGCCCCAACAAGTAGTTCCAGGTCGTTGCAGACATCGAATTTGATTAGCCCCTTTACCTGTTCCAAGTCTTCCAGTTGCTAAGAAGTCTTCAATTTCAGCTTGTCGAGTTAATTTTAACTCAGAATGGCGTTTGGCAAAAGCACCAACAAAATT